GGAATCCTTATAAAGATATAAACAGGGTTTTCTCAATCCTGGAAGCAGTTCTGATATACACTTTTTGGTATGTCCTTGAGCTACTTTGTCGAATTTGTTTTTGCCTCATCAATCGTCGCAAAACGCCGTCCTTTCATTGGTCTCTTCAATCATGAAAACAGAAAAAGTCGCAAGGAGCCAAATCTGGTGAATACGGTGGCTGAGGCACGATTACAGTGATGTTTTTGGCCAAAAAATTACGAACAAGCAATGACGAGTGAGCAGGTGCATTATCCAAAAGCTTTGAGTTGTTTTTCCACAATACTCGCTAGCGGACATAACTTCAAGATACTACTCCTTATTAGCCACGACAATGTGGTATGAATCTTGATGCACTACGTCATGGTATTCCAAGAAAACAGTGAGCAAAACCTTTCCTGAGCCCTTTCATTTGGACGATTGACCTTTGGTTTCAATGTCACAACCATATACGTGGGTGAATCAAATATAAACGAGACTTTTTGACCTTCAGGCACAAAAGTTGAGGAAGAGCGTTCCCGCTATGTTTGTTGTTGGATAGGTTTGTCAGGAGTAGGGGAAGCACGTGGGCTCGCCTCCTCCACCCTCTCAGTGTCCATCGTGACGATGTCGGAGCAAGAGGTACATTCGCCAACTGCGCAACGCGTTGTAATCAAGTTTCTCGCCGCAGAAGGCGTAAAACTGACCGAAATCTTGAAGAGACTGATTGCCCAGTTCGGGGAAGAGACACTGTCGCGAGCCAAAGTGTTTGCATGGCATAAACAGTTCGTGGGAGGTCGTGATTGTGTTGAAAATGAGAGCCATGACCACAGACCTCGCACTAGGATTACAGCGAACAACATCAGCAGTGTTCGAGGGCTTATTGTAGATGATAGACGTCGTACTACTTCTGAAATTGCAAGTGAGGTCGGGATAAGTTATGGGAGCACTTACTTCGCTACACCCGAGTCTAAAGAAGCGAGTATGAAGTGGAGAAAACAAGGAGAACCTAGACCAGTGAAAGTCAAGTCACGTTTGTTGGCTGGCAAGGTGTTGGCTACCGTTTTTTTTTGACCAGCGTGGATTGCTGTATCTCGATTTTTTGTACGAGCGCAGGACAATTTATGCGGCCTACTACTGCGACGTTATGAGTAAGGTCCGACTTGCATATCGCCGCAACAGACCTGTCGATCAAGGAAGTGGTTCTTCTCCATGACAATGCTCGCCCTCATACAGCAGCCTTGACTAGGGAAAAATTGAATCAACTGGGGTGGGAATCATTGGAACACCCTCCATACAGTCCAGACGTGTAACCCTGTGACTTTCTTGTGTTTGGCCCTCTCAAGAAAGCTTTAGGAGGCCAAAGATTCGATAGTGATGCTGAGGTTGAAGCTTACGTGCGCAATTGGCTGCAGACACGACCTGCATCTCTCTACGTGGAAGGAATTGGAAAGCTGCCTATCCGCTGGGAAAAATGTGTTTCCAAATCAGGAGATTATGTAGAAAAATAAACTATATTCTTTTTTGCGTTAAGGATAAAAATAAATTACTAAAAAAAAGTCTCGTTTATATTTGATTCACCTAGTACCCATGTTGTTACCACTTTAAGCACATCTGGATCGCCGTTGACGTTATTATACAATTCCTGAACGATGCTCATGTATCGGGTGTTTTTATCAAAATTCATCAAATTTGAAACGAACTTCGCAGCCACACGCTGCATGCCCAACATTTAAAAAANGAAATTTGAACATTTACCTTATTTTTTGAACCGACCTCGTACAGATATATTCGAAATTCAAGAAAAAATTACCGATTTTCAATATTCATTGACTGCTTGCCAATGAAATTGTGTATACAGGGCGAATATTCAAGTAAGCAGAAAAGAATAGAAGGAGACAAACATTATTGTCATTGTGAAACCTTCTTAAGACTCACCAAAATTTAAAAATACAACATGGCTTTGCAACTTGTAGGAGTATCTAAAAATCAACGGGAATATCACGAATATCACAATGAATATCACAATTAAAAGCTTGAACGTTGTGCATGTTACTCTGAAACAAAAAAATGTATTATTAATTGATTGTTCATGAACATCTGCCTATAACTAGAAAATGTATTTATTTCAAACTAGTACAGAATCTATATTAAACATAATATTAATGCCATACTAATTAAAAACTCAGTTGATGAAAAGTAGAAAAAACATTGTATATCTATTCAAAAGCCAAACACAATAAAACAAATCCCTCATTTGTTGAATTATCTGACTTATGTAGCTATCTATTGGAAAATGTGGCAATTTTTTTTGTATTAGATAACCTTTATAGGTGGTCCACCTTAAATGATACCGAACGTCGACAGTTTTTTGTATGGCATGGGCAGCGTGCTATAATTATACTACCGACGTTCGGTAACTATTTAATTTTTATACCATTCGAATTGACTTCGTACACACTGTAGTTAAAATGCAATAGCAGGGGAGCCCACGATGCAAAATGGGGATTTACTCGATTGTCATTGAGACATGTTAGGTTGCAAAGCTTAGATGATAAGGAGAAAAATTGTTTATACAATATATACCTTTTCATCGGTGGGGGAAGTGGCTATAGATTTTTAAAAATTTAAAAAAATACTGTTGCATGGACATACTCGAGCGCGTCAGATATTGATAGCATCAATGTCCTACGTATTTTTATTAATGTTGGTATGTTAATCTGATCGTTTGCATGATGTGGGTGGTTGTACGTAAGCGTTAAAAACCCTACCTTAATCTGACGCGCTCGAGAATTTCTGATGATCAATTTTTTTTTACTAATCTGATCCTTCATCCCTCATAGGCGGCCTTATATATGGGGCTCATATTTGGTGGAGGTACTTAACCGGGTACAAGGTATCCCACTGTATATTAATCTGCCGCGCTTTAGTAAATCCCGAAATCTCCGCTTGGGCTCCCCTATTACAAATTTCTGTTACTCATTGAAATTTGTGATTGAGTCTTCTGTTCAGTATATTCTGACAGATATTGGCAAAACGCAATATAAGTTGCTTTGTTAGTATTTACACGCCATTTCTCTACATTCATCATTCATTGAAAGACGTATAATTGATACCAAAATATGAAAACTCCAAATACAAAACATGAAATATTTTCAATGAAAAGTGCACCAAACCTTTATATATTTAAATAAAACCTGAGAAAGTTTCTGGTAGAAAAAACTACAACATTTATGAACTTTGAGGTTTTTAGTATTTACATGTAATTATAGTATGATATATCATATTGCACTTATATGACGACTGACGTTTTTCTAGTTATGAAGATATTTTCGCATAATTTCATACTTTTCAGCAAATGAAATAAATATTACTTTTATTATTATGAATCAATTTCAAGTGAAACAAATACCTCTCACTTTTTTGCACACAACTGGCCTTTCTGAAATTCTCACTGATAATTCTATACTTTGGAGAAGTTGAAAGCAATTTTCTGAGGCACCTATTACGAATCATATTCGCGTAAAACACATAAAAACTAACTGAAAACTGTTATCATTACGAGTATAATTTCTACGACGACAACCGATTAGAATGCGGAAAAAATAGAACAAAACGATAACCCTTTTATCTCCAATAATATTACAACGGTGTCGTTTCAAAGTATGGAAAATTGAAGGCAGAAAAAGTGAAAAACTTTTCTCTTACTCTTTATCTTATTTTGAAATTATACTTTCAATTTAGTGAATTTGTATAAAAGCTTGTCTTCAAACACGATTTTTTTATTCAATTGTTCAATCTGATAACACGCTTGTTTCTTATTAAAATCGGCGAAAATACTTTTGAGTTGTCAATTGAAGAACAATATTTTCAATACGATTTTGACACCCCGGAAACAAAACGAGTTGAGACACACGTTCATATGAACTTTCTTCAATGAAATATGACAAGTCATCACCATCTGAAACTATTGATATTATTTAAGATACACCCTGTAGTTTGGTTTGCCATCGCTTCATGGTAATTTTAAAGTGAATTTCAATGTATATTTCATTTCTGCAGTTGTATAGTGTTTTATAATCATATCCTATAAAGTATATACTTACATGTCTATGCAATAGAGAATAAAAAATACTAAAGGGCAAATACTGCCTATGAGGAGATTGGTAGCTACATTTTTGATGGTCCCACCCATTATACTGCGTTCGTGTAGTTGTTAAACACTAAAATACAAATTTTATTTTTACAAATTGTCACGAAATTGTGAAAAGGATCGCGCAAACCAAAATACGAAGCGATTTTATCAAAACATTTCCGAAAAAACATGTGAAACGTGATTCACTTGACAGAAAGTAGGATTTAGGTTGTTCCTGCAGAGAGTGTTTTTGGTTTTTTTGGAACATGAAATGTACAAGGTGAACCTATGTAACTGTATATGTGTTAATAACAGGTGTATCCAATTAACAAAAAAATATAAAGAATATACAGTGTGTAAAAGCCAAATGGAGTAAATTTATTATTTCGGTTACGGTACATATTTAAAAAAAATCCGCCTTGTCAACTTGTTTTGTATGTTACAACATTAGTTGTCAGTATTTTAATTTGCGTTTGAAGTTCATTAACTTCAAGTCTGACAAATGATTAGAATAACGGAAATGCATAAAATAACAGTTATACGAATGATTGGTTATGGAGGAACCCGAACAAACAGGAAATAGCTCGCATATTTCATGAGAAATTTCCTAATTTACCGCTCATATCTCAAGGAACAATGAGCAAAATAGAGAAGCAGTTTCGCGAGCTTAGTCATATGGGGCAGATAAAAAAAGCTGCTGCCAATGCAATGAGTGATGAACTCAAATTAGATGTGATGCTTGAGTTTGAGGAAAACCCACGTGCATCGAGTAGACAGGCTCCCACTACATTCAATGTTAGCCATACATCGATAGTGAACATATTAAAAGAAAATAAAATGCATTCCTATAAAATGATACCTACTCAGGAGCTCATAGAAGACGATTTTGATAGAACTTATTTTTGTGATCAAATGATTGACATGTTGAATAACAATATCATCAAAATAGAGGACGTTATGTTTTCTGATAAGTGAACTTTGTCTCTTAACGGTCATGCTAATCGGCAAAATTGCCGCTACTGGTCAACGGAAAATCCTCACTGGATGAGAGAAGAACTCACGCAATACCCTCAAAAGGTTAATGGTTGGGCATGGATTGTAGGAAACTCTATCATTGGTCCCTTTTTTATTGAGGGCAACTTGGATGGCGATAATTATTTGACACTACCTCAAAATGATGTCATTCCAAGTTTATCAAATTTACATCCTGATCCAGGAAACCCTCAAGTTCCAGTGAATACGATATGATTTCAGCAGGATGGAGCACCACCACATTACCAAGTTAATTTCCGGTAATACCTCGATACATTTCCCAATCGGTGGATATGGATTAAATAACCAGCGCGATCACCTGATCTTGCATCATTAGATTTATTTTTATGTGGATATGTAAAGAGCAATGTGTACAAATCTAAACCTTCAGATTTGAATGATTTAGGTCGGTCACGCCTGATATATGCTAAATAATGTTAGAAGACAGTTTTATTTGAGATTAGGATGTTGATAAAACGTTCGCGGTGAACATTTCGAACATCTACTTCTTCAACATCCATAGTTCTTTTTCGTTATTTGCATTTCATTACGTTTTGCATTAGTTTTTTAGTGTATTTTATGGAACTTCGGTAACCACATGATTTTAATTTATTTCATCTTAATTGTTGCAATAAACTTGAAAACGATAACAGTTTTTAATATAGAATGAAGAGATCTTTTAAAACGATATATCCACAAACATATACTTCCCATTTAAAAAATTGGGGGTTGTACCTGTCATTCGAAGGAGGTTGAATAGGGGTGGCATTTTTACGTTGAAGGATGTCAAATCATAATTTAAATTTGACGTCAGAATGTCATCGTCAATTCTTCCAGGTTTGGAGTCCAGCTCCCCTACCCTTTCGACTAATTGTTGGTCTTGAGAGGGACCAATGGATTCATGACTGACTGATGACGGCATGAAGTCCTTAGACATCAGTGCCGCCCTTCACGGGATACCCCTACCTGGCTGGGGTGGGATGGATGAGAAAGTTATTCATCCGTTAACGGGGGCCTCATTCGACAGAGTGTCGGGGCCTTCTATATCGGGAGGAGTCGTCTACAGCATAATCTGTGGCTTCCCTAACTAACTAAATTTGACGTGTTTCGAGAATTTTTTTTAAATATGTACAGAAACCGCGTGTGCGCACATGCGTGCGCACGCATATATACAGTTTTAAAGCAATTAATATTTTCAAAAAATTCTCAAAGCATTGTTAAACTTTATACCTTTATTGTGAATCGAATTTTGCCCCATATTTGATTTCAAATTGCCTAAATATCTTATCAAATGACTCTGTTGATACTATCAATTTCAAAAGTCAGATTTGAATGCTTGTGCTTATTTTTGACCAAATGAATGAAGGCACATAATTTGAATTTACATAAGGATAACTTGAAAATACACTTTCAAGTTTGTATCAAAATTTTTTTATTGGTTTCAATAAGGAATTTGTTGCCACTCCCCATACTATTATCAGATATTGAATTTTTGAATATACTAATAAAAAATAAATCAATTTGAGGTATTTTAATGGTACAGAATTTCTTATTTTGAATGAAGTTCTAGTTATGGGAGCTATTCACCTTATTATTGTTTCAATATGTGGTCTCCATGATGAATTTTCATCTAGTATGAGACCAAAAAATTTTGGAGGGTATTTAATATTTTCATTATGGAATTTGACTGCATCTCTCAAAACAATTGATATAGATCTGCTTGATATAATCATAAACGAATATTTCTGAGAATTCTGTGAAATTTTATGGCATTGAAGCCATAATGACATCTGATCAACGTCTTTTGAAACATCAATTTCAATTTCTTGTACACTATTTCCATTGTGAATTAAAGTGGTTAGCAAATATTTGTAAATCACCAAATAAATTAAATTCAATGTAGGCAAAGAATTGAAATAGGTATAATAGGTTACCTCGTTCACAGGCAGATGGAGCGACGACAAACCTGTTGTTTGTTGTAGATATTGCGGCAGTTGTATTGCCAACAGCATATGCAGGAATAACTTCTGTGAAGAATCCTGCACTGACACCTGTCGGATATAATCCAACGCCCTTCGTGGTATTAGCCAGGGGAGTAGTTGTTTTCTGATAGGTGTCAGTCCATTAACCTACTGTGTAGGGTGTTGAGACTGGCCTGAACGAATTGTTCCTTTAGATGATTTGAGGTATATAAGAAAAAAACGAGTCCAAGTATTGATCCCAGTGGTACCCCACATATTATTTTTTAACTAATTATGTAGCCATAGACATATTTCTACCTATTTGATAAATAATTTGGAAACCTATTATAAACTAAACCTCGGATATCTATTTTATACATTATTTTCAGAGGAATTTTATAGTCCACAGTATCGAATGCTTTCTTTAGGTCTAATGAAAGAACACCTTTTTGGTTCAAATCTAAATCTTGCTGGAATTGGATTATGGCATCTAATACTGTAGATTTTGTGTCACCATTTTTTTGAAATCTGTATTCAATCTGGAATGTGCTGATTTCTCAATAATTTTAGTTGAAACCGGAAAAACTTTATAATTAGGAATCCTTATAATGAGTAATAAAAACAATTAATACATTATTGTTACACAACACAAAAATAGAAGCATACATTGACACAATGATACAATTTATACAAGAAAATAGGTAAAATAAGTATACAAAAAAATCAAAAGTCAACATATTTCTTTAATTTTCTTCTTATTTCATTCAACAGAACCTCAATCAGGCATGCGAAAATTTATGTTTAGTTGAATTAGGTCATACACAAATTGTGGTGTGATTTATGGATGTATTCAACACTCAAAAACTCACTTTGTTTAAATACAATGTAAAATAATGTTGAACCTTTGACAACATTATTTTGGCTCACCTTCTTATAAATCTCCTTTTTGGCAACCAGAGCATCCCTAATATCTTACAGAATACAGGTGGAACTGCAAATAATCATTTTTTATTTTATGAAATACATTTCCATGAGTACTGAAACGAAATAATTATTTGAATATCACTTGGCTGGGTGTTCTTTGAATACAATATCATACAGGGGGAAGCAAAGGAAAAGTGTCCACCTTACTTTTCAGGTTTTAGTGAAATTCAATGAAAGAATGCTCAGACACGTTGATTTTACTGTCGGAGTGAAGCGATTTTGTGTATCCTAATCTTTGTTAGTTCCAAACCCTGGACCGGTGGGCTTAAGAGAGGTCGAGTAATACCTCGTTCAAAAGGGTACACAATTATCTTTCTTCGCAGTGTTGAGAGCCGTAGAACAATGATTTTGGAAATGATGAAACAAAAAATTCAATCTATTTTAATAAATTACATACCTACTTGCATGAAACTTCAATTTTTCCCCAACCCGATACCTTTATCAGAAGAAATTTCCATACCATATTATTTGCATTTTTTTGTTACAATATTGTTATCCAACCAAAACGCTATTTATAATTGTTCATTGTTCTTGATAAGTACTGAGTAATAAAAATATTTTTGTCTTAAGGTTAGGTACTGATTTGTCTGAATACTAACCTTTTTCTATACAACCAAGCAATGCCAACTAATCGAACATCACTATCAGGGTAATATATTGTGAACTGAACTGATTAATTGAATCAAATATTAATAACGTAAACATTAACCAAAAGTTTCAAAACGTCACTTTTGTCTTCTGATTTGAAAACATAATTATTCAGGTTAGTTCGGTCACGTTAAAAAATAGTTATTCTTTGTTCTAAGAACTCCAAAGTATGGGTTTCTCAGACAAAACAGTTTTGAGTCCTTAAATTTGTGTAAATGTATAATGACAGATTCTGGTAGCAATAAAATAAATATGACGAGCCTCAAGACTTGAAAATTGTTCGATTTGGAGATTAACGAGGTCCTAACTTTCAATTTTTTATAGCTAGCATGGATCAAATATATAGATGGATGTTCATAGTCGGCAGAATGTAATATCAGTTGTATTATAAAACTTCTATCCATGATAATAATTCAACAATTTTCACAAACATGTTTTTTTCTAGATGCGTTTCGCTAATACCGTATCTTCATCGGTGAAAATATTGGATAGTTTTGGATAGTTCCTTAATAATTCATAAGACTTCAGTTTCAGTTGGGAAGGTGCATTCTCCAGAACGTCAATATTAGAACTGAGTTAATCCCTCAGCTTTCACCAATCGTTATTGTCTCTCCAGTGTTCCACGTTCAGCGTTTGATGTCACAATTTGTTGGATACACTTGGGCCCAGTGAGTTGAATATCGTTTTCCACTGATAAACTAGTACACATTTATTGTATTACTATTCTATATTAATATATCAGAACATAGTTACACACTGAAATGAAAATAGTACCAGATTTACCAATGGAAAACACTGGCACATAACAGTTTCTGCCAAGTAAATGTCATATTTGTAAAATGAAAATTCATTTTGCTGTCATCTGTTGTTTTGGAATGCTAAGCATTTATATTTAAATTGATATTTTTCATTCCATAACTTTTGAAATGGATATAAGTTCTCAACTCTTGAAAGATATCAATGTTCCTACAAATCAAAGTAAAGTGTACAAAGATGAATGCGTATTTTCATTCGACAATCCAGTGAGTTAAAAAAAAAAGAATTGTCAGGCTTAGGTTATATTTAATACTTTTAGGAAACAGATACTGGGCTTTATGTCAGTTTAACAACTTTCATTGGATTGGGTCGCAATCATGTAGAAAGATATTACAGAAAGACCGGCCATGCTGTTTTCCTACATTTGAAAAGAGAAAAATATGAGGTTTGTAAAAAAAATTGTTTTGTTATCGATGTTAACTTTGAAGGGAGTTGATATCTTCAGTAACAAATACCACATATTTAAAATGTCAGGTTTCATCACTAACACAGGGCGATGGACCAGAGAAGAAGATAACCCGCTTAGCAATAGGGGTGGAGGGAGGATTTGATCCAGATTCGGCGAAAAAGAAATTTGAATATGAGGATTTGTATAGCGTAGTCATTCTTCCAAATTTCACATCTATTCAGTGGCCCAACAATGAACTACCAGAAATAGTAAGTACTTTTTGTATATGTGTCAGTACAAGTAGAATTTATGAAATCAATAGAGTTACTTAAAGCTGAGTATTGATGTACCGCAGGGTTCAATAATGAGAACCTTACTGTTCATCCTTCACCGGAAGTCATTACATCGCTTATGTAGATGATTTTCATACAGTTACTCAACTTGATGTTTTGGAGGCTAAAATCTGCCTCAGACATCATTTTATGAATCTTGCAGTTTTAAATTTGGTGCGTTTGATTTTGAAAAGTCTGTTTTTATTTTCAAAACATCTAGAAAGATCATTATTCAATTTTTTACTAAATCAAATGACTTGTGGCAATTTGGGAATTAGATATACAGTTTGTAAAGGTGAATCAGTATATTTTTGTCATGTGAGTTGAACCTGTGTAATGAAATAGAATAATTCAAGGTAAAATCTTCAGTCCAAGCAATCATCGATCTACCCTCAGCTAGTAAACTAGCAGAACTAGAAGCCCTCAGTGGAACATGGGATGGAGAATCCCGCATAGTTTCAAAACATGCCTCTAATTTATCACAACTAGACAATGGTAAAAAAATCCCGCCAACGGGTTGGAAATGCGAAAAGTGTGATAAAACTGAAAACCTCTGGTTGAACCTGTCGGACGGCTCCATTTTGTGTGGCCGGAAGTTCTACGACGGATCAGGAGGCAACAATCATGCCATGGAACATTATAATGTCACCGGTTATCCTCTGGCTGTCAAATTGGGGACAATCACGAAAGAAGGGAAGGCCGACGTTTTCAGCTACAGTGAAGATGATATGGTTGAGGATCCTGATCTCATCAAGCATTTAGCACATTGGGGTGAGTCCTTTCTCATTAAGAAATCAGTTATCTATACCCCTGAAAATCAAAATAGTTTATGACATTCATTAAGGTCATTACTTTTAAATCCCTATTCTTCAACTACAGTCTTGAGTGTTACAAATTTTATTATTCACCTCGATCATATTCAAATTCATAGGTATCAACATTGCTAATATGGAGAAGACTGAGAAATCAATGGTGGAATTAGAGCTAGAGTTGAATCAGAAGACAAACGAATGGGCAGCTCTCCAAGAGAGCGGCGGTCCTTTGAAACCACTTTACGGCCCGGGATTCACAGGAATGTCAAATTTAGGCAATTCATGCTACTTGAACAGTGTTGTACAAATGCTGTTCAGAATCCCCGATTTCGTTCACAAATACTATGATGGAGCAGATGAAATATTTGATAGAGTTAACGGGGATCCAGCTGAGGATTTTGGTGTACAAATGTAAGTGTGAGATTTTTGCTATTGTTTGAGCCAGCTAAAGAATAAATTCTCTTGGAAGGTTACTATTTTAACTAGAAGAAATATATATTTTGAAACAATAACAGTACTCCTAGAAGTTTTGATTGAATTTTCAACATTTCGATATGTGTATTCCAATAAAAACTTATTATTTATTACACAACTTATGCAGTCGGTTGTGTCTTGCAGAAAACGGCTATCAGGTACTTATGTAAAGCGAAATGGTGGAATTCATGTAAACCCCTTTTTCGAAAACATAGAATCCTTACGGTTATTTTAATATTTATATTGGAAACCTTGTCAATTATACATAAAAATAGGGAGAACTATGAATCTACAGCTACAGCCACATACCACCACATATTACACAATTATTTTCCACGACCGAGCGTACCAAAGAAAAGTACAATATTCTGAAGGTATTTATAGAAAATTTATCTATGGATCATTGAACAAATCTCAATAATTTGAGTGATTTAGATATGATGTGATCAATATCACCTTTAAACGTTACTTTGCTATCAAAGAACACTCCTAAGTCACGCTTTTAGTCAACGTTAGATTAATGTTTTTGATTTTATATGGATATACAATAGGTTTCACAGCTCTTGAAAATGCTATTCGATAACATTTATTTATATAAAGCATTTTTTTCATAACACCAACGAGATAGTCAGTATGTCTTGATGGAAAGTGTTCTAGTGGTTTACCTGTTGATTATGGAGTACCTCAGGGCTCTATCCTTGGCCCAATTCTGTTCTCTATATATATCTGACTTCCATAAAATAATTGATCATTGCACAGTTCATCATTATGCAGATAACACTCAGTTACATTATTGATTTCCTCCAAGTAACTGGCAGGTGGCAATGGAAAAAATTAACAGCAATCTACAAAAGTTACTGGATCTATTTATAGCCCATGACCTGAAATTAAATTCTGAAAAATCTCAGTTGATACTTTTTGGCCCGAAACACAAAAAACGGGAAATTGAAGGAAGAATTGAAATCCAACTTGGACAAGACTTACTAAAAACAATTACAGAAAGAAAGAACTTGGTTTTATGGCTAGATGCTGATCTGAGATTCCACAAACATATAAATTCACTTTGTCGTAGCTCATACGTATCTAACGTCAACTCTATCAAAGTAGAGATATTATGACTTCCAAATTGAAGTTGAAACTTTGCGGAACCCTCATATTGTCTAGATCAGCATATTG